CGCTGCCTCACCACGTTCCTGGCGCTGGAGGGCGCCGACCCCGCGACCACCGCGGTGAAGGCGCAGCTGAAGACGTGGTTCGAGGTCTGGGCCCGCAGCCCCGACATCAGAGCACAGGTCAAGCTTGCCTGGCCGAAGATCTACTTTCCAGCTCCGCAAGATCAGGGCAGAGAAGAGGTGGCAGGCGCGCAAGGGGCCGCTGGCCAGCCTGATTCTCCTGCTGTGGGAGGTAGGCTGGGACTCCAGAGGACCAGACGTCTGGATCGACAGGCAAGGGGACTACTGGAGGTTCAACACTGACGAGCAGGGCGGCGACTACACAGAGATCGTGGACGCGCTCCTGCAGGATATCCAAGACCAGCTGTGGGAGACGGCATCACAGCACCACAACCGCGGAGGGCTACAATTTGGTGCGGACGTGACCGACCTTAAGAAGCACCTCAACCAGCTCGCCAAGAAGGAGCACCACGGCACGTACGGCGCGCTCCTCACGGCAGCGTGTGCAGGCACCTGGGCGAGGCGGCGCAAGCACGAGACCTTCGGCGGCGAGGAGGACATGTGCGAGTGCGGCAGACCAGAGGATGATGCACACAGGATCTGGGGCCACTGTGCGGCCCGAGCCGACTGCGAGGCCATCCGCAAGACAGAGGGCTTGGCACGCAGGGCCATCGAGGGAGCCAAGGAGAACCCCGCCTTCTGGCTCAGAGGCATCACGCCCAAGAAGTGGACCACGCCGCCCAAGTGCGACACCCAACACGTCGAGCACACCGTGGGCGCCTGCATCACCAACAACAGGCTCTCCGCCAGCGACGGCGGCGAGATCGCGGGCTGCGGCGACGGCTCAGGAGGCGAGTACCGCGCAGACGAGAGATACTGCCGCTGCGGCTGGGGCTGGGTGCTGCTGAAGGAGGGCGACGACGCCGACGAGATCGCGGGCGCCAGATTCGGCCCACTGCCAGGGCCGAGGCAAACCAACAACAGGGCGGAGCTCTTCAGCCTGATCAGCTTCATCAACGCCACGGAGGGCAAGGCCAGCTTCTGGACCGACAGCGAGGTCACCTGCCTGGGCTGGGCGGCGCGACGTGAGGAGACCACAGGGCTCGGCTGCGCGAACGGAGACTTGTGGCACCAGCTGGGCGAGGCGATCCGTGCGCGAGGAGGTGACCGCAACGACATCAGCGTGCACCACCTCAACAGCCACATGACTGAGCAGGAGGCCAGCGCGAAGGGCATCACGAGGCGCATCTGGGCAGGCAACCAGGCAGCCGACCAGTACGCAGACGCAGGCGCCAAGACCCACGCGATCAGCGACGCCGAGATGAGCTGCTACGAGTGGGTGAGAGCGACGGCGCACCTGGTGAGGCTCAGGATCGCTGCAACCACCAAGGACGTCATCACCAGAAGGCCGCCAGACGAGAAGGAGATGAGAGAGGCCCGCCGCGCTCAGGCTAAGAAGCGACGGCAGGACACCGTGCGCAAGAAGGACCTGCTGGGGGACAACCACTCGCGACGGCCACTCACACAACATGTTCTGGCACGAGACCGTCGAGGCACAGGCTGGACGTGCATGAGCTGCTGGCAGTCAGTCTCCAGTACGACGACGGCGCAGAACATCCACAGCTGGCTGACGCAGGAGTGCAGTGGCCCACCGCCCGAGACGGCGATCACGGTCACCAAGTTCGGCGTCGAGTCGCACCCCGCGCACAAGCTGAGGCGGCTGAGGAGGCACAACAGGTGGTTCTGCGAGAAGTGCGGAGGCGCCACCACTGAGCTGATCGCCAAGAAGCTGCAGGAGCCTTGCTGCGGACACACGGCATGCGACAGCGGACACTACAGGCTACAGGGGTGGCTGAGGCAAGCGGCGCGAGAGCAAGGCACCTGCGACAGGCCTCGCGCACTGAGCGACCCTGAGGACGAGGAGGACGAGGAGCAGCTTGCAGAGGCCAGCAGTAGCCAGAGCACGGAGGTCGACACGGCAGGGGGCACAAGTGGTGTTTCCTGGCGAAACAAACGGGAAGAGCCACCCTGCCGTCTGCGGGAGAAGTGCCGAGGCTACACTGCGGGCGCGCTGGAGGCGACGAGGAGAGCTACGACGCCTGCGGAGCCTAGCAGCCTGCCCGCCCCTCCAGCTGCAGGAGCAGACCGAGGGCCCGCGACGCGGGACAGGGCACGTCGGGCCGCGGCGGCCAGAGCGAGAGCGCGCTGCGAGGCAGCAGGCGCGCGGCCCGACGGCGGAGACAGAGGAGAGCAGAGGACACGGAGATCAGAAAGCGAAAGACGAAGAGCTGAGGAGCCGATTGTGAGACGCCTGCTGGACGCGACCGCCGCCACACCAGCACCGACGCCGACGCCGACGACAGCACCACCAGCAGCAGCAGACCAACGTGACGAAGCTGAGGCCGCACGCCGTGCCGCCTCGCGAGCGCTGCTGGAGGAGGAGAGGCGGCGCGCGGCGCGCCCGCCGCCAGAGGCGAGAGGGGCCCGCGCGGCGAGCGCCGCCCCGCCGCTGCCGCTGGGCGCGCTGCGCCGGCTGCTGGACGAGGGCGAGCGGCCCGCGGGGCGGGTGAGGACCACGCGTGGCGGAGCTGTTGGCAAAAGATGTGGTCTCCCCGCCCCGCGGAGAGAGGGCTGGGCTGCGGAGCCGCCCGCAGGCCCCTCGGTTGCTCGGCACGTCCCCCTGATGCCGAGGACCGAGGCGGCCTGAGAGGCGCCGAGAGCGGCGCCCCCGCGCGCGCGCCGACAGCGCCGCGCGGGTTGCCACGACGTGGCGGCTCGAAAGAGCTCGAAAGAGCTCCTCCTCCTCCTCCTCCTCCTGCCTCCTCCTCCTCCTCCTCTCTCCTGCTCCTCCTCCCTCCTCCTCTTTCCTCCTCCTCCTCCTCCTCCTCCCTCCTCCTCCTCCTCCTCCTCTCCTCCTCCTCCCTCCTCCTCCTCCTTCCTCCTCCTCCTCCTCTCCTCCTCCTCCTCCTCCTCCTCATCCTCCTCCTCCTCCTCCTCCTCCTCCTCCTCCTCCTCGTCCGTCTCCTTCCTCCGCCTCCTCCTCCTCCTCCTCCTCTCCTCCTCCTTCCTCCTCCCTCTCCTTCCTCCCCTCCTCCCCCTCCTCCTCCCCCCTCTCGGCGCGCCGCCGCGCCGCGCCGCCAGGCCGCAGCCATCCCGCCGGCCCGATGCCCGCGGGTGGAAGCCGGACGGCGGGGCGGAGGCAGAGGTCGGGGCTCAAGAGATTCCCGGACCCCCTCGGGTAGGGGCAGGAAACATGGCGGGAGATTTTTCCCTCCCCTCCCTCCTCCCTCCCTCCCTCCGTCCTCCCTCCTTTGTTCTCCTCGCCCTCCTCCCTCTCCCTCCTCCTACCTCCCGTTCTCCTCCTCCTCCTTGTCCTCCTCCTCCTCCTCCTCCTCCTCTTCCTCCTCCTCCTCCTCCTCCTCCTCCTCCTCCTCCTCTGCCTCCTCCTCCTTGGGTAGGGACACAAATCATGGCCTCCTCGGGTAGGGACAAAAATCATGGCGGGAGGTTTTTGTTCAAGTTTGCGGCCTCTGGAGGCCCCTGCCGCCCCTCGGGGTCGTCAAAATGTGACTCGGGATGGAAAACCGGTCCAGGGGAAGGGGTCGATGCCTCTGAGGGTCGACGTTGTGAAACTTATCCTGGCGAAGGACCCGACCATATGCAGCTGTGCGTACCGCAAGTGTGAGTATCTTCTTCGGTAGTGATCCCTCAGGGGCCACGAAACGCATGAGGGCTGTGCCGGGGCCTTCGGTGGAGCTCCCTGTGGGGCTACGAAACGTGCAAGGGTTGTGCCGACATTGGTGCCGTGGGCGCATGCGAACGCAGCCACTGGGGCCTTCGGTGGAGCTCCCTGTGGGGCCACGAAACGTGTGAGGGGTGTGTGGGCGCGGTGGGCGCATGCGAACGCAGCCAGTGGGGCCTTCGGTGGAGCTCCCCGTGGGGCCACGTAACGTGTGAGGGGTGTGCCGAAATGGGCGCGGTGGGCGCATGCGAACGCAGCCACTGGGGCCTTCGGTGGAGCTCCCCGTGGGGCCACGTAACGTGTGAGGGGTGTGCCGAAATGGGCGCGGTGGGCGCATGCGAACGCAGCCACTGGGGCCTTCGGTGGAGCTCCCCGTGGGGCCACGTAACGTGTGAGGGGTGTGCCGAAATGGGCGCGGTGGGCGCATGCGAACGCAGCCACTGGGGCCTTCGGTGGAGCTCCCCGTGGGGCCACGAAACGAGTGAGGGGTGTGCCGAAATTGGTGCGGTGGGCGCATGCTCTTAGAACATCTTCGGGTTCGAAAAACCTTTCGTGGCAGGCCTATAAGAATGCCTGGACGGTCGGTCCCTGCTCAAGACGGGGCGCCCACAGGGGGCAGGACGCCGACCGGGGTCCAGAGCTCGATCCGTCGGCCTGCGCCCTCAGAGCGGCAGCCTCGTGGCTCGCGAGGCCTCGTGCCCTCCATCTCGCTCTCGACGCGCGCCGCCAGGGCGTTGTGGAAGTCGATGAATGCAGAGGCAGCATGAATGCCACAAACTTTCCAGATGTCTCATACATGTTTCAAACATGTCTCCAATATGTAAAGACAGGTTGGAAACATGTTTAGAGCATGGTTTAAACACATGTTAAACACATGCTTGATTCAATAATCGGGTTGTTGGAGTGTCCGTTGTCATGGCATCCACAACCCTGGCAGTTCTCGTGGGCGAACACACGCCTCCGCATCCGCGGCCTCGCCGGTCGGGCCCCTGGGCACGCGAACCCCCGCGGACACGGGGCGCTTCTTTTCCCCCGGGGCGCCCCCCCGCGCGGAACGTGCTCCGTGCGACCGCGCGCCCGCAGCATCGCGCCCCGGAGCCCAGGCCATGAGGAGGAGGAAGAGGAGGAGGAGGAGGAGGAGGAGGAGGAGGAGGAGGAGGAGGAGGAGGAGGAGTCCAGGCCATCCGGACGCGGATTCGGATCCGTTCGCCGCCCAGGATTGGCCCTGCCGAAGTCTCGCCGCCCGGCGCGGCCCCGCGCTGGGCGCGGTGCCGCAGCGCTGGCGCGCCGCGCGGCCATGGCGCGCGCGCCCTGCGGCGTGGGCCGCGGCGGGCGCGCTGGCGCTGGCGCCGAGAGCCTGCGGAGGCAGCCCGCAGCTGCGCGGCGACATCGACGCAGCTGACGACGGCGCCGCCGGCTGCCACGGCGACGGCCCACGGCGGCGGCGAAGACGCCAGCGACGCCACCGAGGACGTCAGGCTCGATGTGGAACCCGATCTTCTCCACGCTGCTGCATCGCCGATGCATCGCCGATGCGTCGCGATGCATCGCTGATGCAACGAAGCGATCCTTGGACCCGATCAGCTTGGACCCCATGCAGGAGGCCTCTACTCAAGGGGGCCAAGGACACACAAATAAATACACACAAGTAAAACTATTCCCCATATGTTCACATATTTTCTGGGTTTTTGTCTTCCCGCACAATTCCTTTATTTTCCCATATTTTCTTGGGGATGGACGATTAATTGTGTCTGTGTGTTTTTTTCCCTCCTGATCTACTTCCGCCGACTTCGCCTCGGGATGGGCCTGCGCGGCGCAGGGCCGTGGTGCTGTCGCGCGGCACGGCCGCCGCCGCCGCGAGCTATAGCGTTGCGCTGCCTCTTCGGGGGCGGCGCGCGGGGCCTCTCTTCGGCGGGCTCTGGGCCGCGAGGCCGTGCCCTGAGAGGGGGGGGGGTACGAGTCGGACCGAGAGATAAGGTCGAGGTGGGTTCGGGGAGGGTGCCCTGACGTCATTCGTGTCTGTTGGATGCTCTTGCTGAGCGTCTTGTCGCGCTCGTTACCCCCCCCCCCCTCCCGGGTAACGCCAACGAGCCTGCTTGGGGGGGGGCCCTGCCCCCCCCCCCCCTTACATGCTGTGGTGCACACAGGCGATGGATGCGCCGGTGGCGCGGACGCACCCTGGCGGGTGCACGCCGCGGCCGCCGTTAGAGCGCGTTCCTTATTGCTCAGGGCATAGCGAGGATTATAAAGCCCGGCGCCCCCCCCACGACGTAGCGCGTAACGCCCCCCTCCCCCCGGTGCGCCCGGGGCACTGCCGCCGTGCGCATCGGGATCCGCATAGGCGTCCTCATAGGAATCTGCATAAGAGTCTGGTCCGCAGTCGTCGTCGTCGTCGTCGTCGTCGTCGCCGTCGCCGTCGTCGCCGTCGCCGTCGCCGTCGTCGTCGCCGTCGTCGCCGTCGCCGTCGCCGTCGCCGTCGCCGTCGTCGTCGCCTTCGTCGTCGTCGTCGTCGTCGTCGTCGTCGTCGTCGTCGTCGTCTTCGTCTTCGTGGTCGTCGTCATTGTCGCTCGTCGCTCGTCGCTTGTCGCTCGTCGCTCGTAGTCGTCGTGCGCGCGGACGCGGCTGGAGCCTTTTCGTTATTCCGGGCCGATGACGGCCGTCGTCTGGGGGGAAGGGAGGGGGCTGATGACGTCACGATTCGTGCCGGCGGCGTCTGGTAATGCCCAGGAGTGAACGAGGACGGGTAGCAGTAGCATTTAGTTGTCGATCTGCACCGCAGCGCCGATGTACACCACAGTGCCCACGTGCACCACAGCGCCTGCATACACCACACCGCCTGTGTACACCACAGCGCCAGTGTGTGCCACGGTGCGTGCGAGCACCACAGCGGTTTTGTACACCACAGCGCCTGCGTGCATCACACCAGCCGTGTGCAACACATCACCAGTGTACAGCACAATGCGCGCGTGCACTACAGCGCCTGTGTACACCACCATAGAAACATTGGTTTTATATCGGATGTGGAAACTAATCTGTTTGGAACATGGAGCGCCGCTGGAATCTACAATTCCTCCCCAGTCGTCCCGCGTCCAGGAGGCGTCCGGAGGCAGAATTGACCGTCCGAGAACCAACTAGACTGATTCAATCGACCACGTTGCTTTCACGCTGAGATACGCACGTGCGCTGTAGCGCCGACCCGCACGACAGGAGGGAAGGGTGAACGAGGAGGGGGAGGAGGAGGAGGAGGATGAAGAGGAGGAGGAGGAGGAGGAGGAGGAGGAGGAGGAGGAGGAGGAGGGGGAGGAGCAAGAGGAGGAGAAGGAGGAGGAGGAGGAGGAGGAGGGGGAGCAGGAGGAGGAGGAGGAGGAGGAGGAGAAGGGGGAGAGGGGGGGATGATGATGAGGATGATGAGGATGATGAGGGGGATGCAAATGATGATGATGAGGAGGAGGAATGGGAGAAGGAGGAGGAGGAGTAGGACTATCAATAATTGTAAGAATAATAAAACGTAAACTAGTCACAATCGTAATAATAATAAGGCGTATACTAATACGACTAAGGAGATTCATATTAAGAGTACGAATAACAATAATAATACTGCGACAAAGAACGCGACTAATAATACGCATGATACTAATACGCATGCGAACAATAAGTCTAACCATAATACAACGTGGAAGAATAATCACAATACTATGAATAAGAATAAGAGTAATAACACACAGGGGGCGACTATTAATCATACTAATACTGTTCGTAATAAACATTATAGTGTGAAGGAGGAGAAGAATAATACTACTAATACTGTGGATGTTCATGATACGAAGAATCATATGCTATTTTCTATAACCGTACTATTCGTAATAGTGGTACTAAGATTACTCATACTGCGACTACTACTCCTGCTAGTACTATCCATATCATTAATATAACTGAGCATCGTACATACATACGCACATCCATATATACATACATACACACAAGCATCCATACATACATGCAGGCACACATCCATCTCTAAAGACAAACATAGTTAACTTAATGCATAATGCTGGTAATACTACAACTAATACTGATTACAAGAAACAGAGGAGGAGGCGGAGGAGGAGGAGGAGCAGGAGGATGAGGGGGAGGGGGCGGATGAGGAGGAGGAGGAGGAGGAGGAGGAGGAGGAGGAGGAGGAGGAGGAGGAACAACAGGATGAGGAGGAGGAAAAGTAGGAGGAGGAGGTGGAGGAGGAGGGGGGAGGGAATAACGTCGCATTGTATTATCAGCACTTCCCTGGCGTAGTGTTTAGCTGTCAGCAGCAGATCCTCATCAACATGCTCCTTCTACCTATCCTGTGCACGCAGGCGCTGTGGTGTACACCAGCGCTGCGTTGCACGCGGATGCTGTGGTTCAGTCGTCGTGGTGTGCATTGGCGCTGCGGTGAACGCAATCAGTGTGGTGTACACAGGCGTGGTGTCGCACATGGTTGTTGTTGTGTCCGTAACCGTTTTGGCTCAAGATGCCACGTCTCCCGCGCGGCGGCGTGGACACCGCTAATCCGCGGCCGCTCCCTGTTTCTCTTTCCTCAGTCGAGCTGCGCGCTGCCGTGTGGTCCCGCCCCGCCCAGTTTTGCGCCACGACATCTGGCCAGCGTTGTTTTTCTGGAAGTGTGGTGGTTGCGGCGCCTTCAACCCGCAGGGGCAGCCCAAGTGCGCGTTCTGCGATCAGGGGGCGGCCCTGGCGCTACTGGACGCAGGGTCGCCGCCGCGGCGGGGGCGGCAGCGGCGGCGGCGCGGGCGGGGGCAACGGCGGCCAGCGCGGTCGGAAACCCTCGGCGCCGTGGGCTCGGAGCGCCGACGGCCAGCGCCCCACCGCCAACGCGTGGCATCCGCCGCGCGTCGACGACAGGCAACTCCGCTGCCGAGCTGCCTGCCGAGAAGTGGGAGGCCGCCCAGGAGCTCTTCACGCAGGCGCAAGTGGACAAGGTCGAAGCCAGGAGGGCTGCCCGCGCTAGCGGACTCTGTGCAGCCCGTGAAGCCACCGCGGAGTTCGAGCGCATCGGCAAGAGGCTTAAGGCCGAGGAGGCAAGGAGCAGCGCATGGCGGCCGACATCTCGGATCGCCTGCTCAAGCTGGGCGCCCAGCAGGCGCTCGTCCGCGCCCTCCGTGAGTCGCACCAGGAGGCCCGTGCTGCGGCAGCCTCGGCTTTCTCGGGCGCGGCCCGGCCCCCCGCGGCGGAGCTGCTCGAGAAGGTCACCGCCCTCAGCGCGTCGGGCAAGGGCCCCGCGGCCTTCGTCACGGAGCTCCTCGAGCAGGTCGCGGCCTTCGCCGAGGCCTCGGCCGCGCCGCCAGCCGCGCCTTCCGCCGACGTTCCCATGGGCGACGCGGGCTCGGCAGGCGGAGAGGCCGCTACCCAGCCACGGCAGCCCGCAGGCCCACCAGCAGCGGCGCAGGCTGGGCACGGGCCCGAGCTGGACGCCAGCCGCTTCAGGGCGATCCTCTCTACGGAAGACCCTGCTGGCCCTTTTGCTCGCACTTCTGACGGTGGCGAGCGCAAGCGGCTCGGCGACGCGAAGGCCCTCCTGCGGGAGCACGTCGGCAAGACGTTTCGCGGTGGGCCTGGGCCCGCAGGATCCACCGACGGCCCAGCAGCGGCTGCAGCGCCCCCCGCGGCTGCTTCCCCCGCCCCCCCCCAGCTAGGGGGGCAGCCCGCCAGCGGCAGCGTCTGGCGTGGCCTCTCGCTCAACACGAGCGCCTACGCCACGCTGAACTTGCTACTGTGCCAAGGACGACCTCAGGCCGCGCGACTTCGTCGCCGCCCTGGGGGCGCGCATCCCCGCCGACCGCGCTGCCGAGGTGGCAGCTCGATTGGGCCGCCAGGGCTGGCAGGCCCTAGCCACCCCTGCCACCGACGCCGACGGTGGCCGCCCAGGCCGCGGAGGACTGATCAGCCTCGCCCCCAGGCGCCGCGGCCTCGGGTGCTTCGAGGTGGACGGGCTGCGCAGTTGCGTGCTCGCCCCAGGCCGTGCGCCCATCGCGCGCCAGCGGCGTCGTCAGAGGGGCATCGTGTGGATCAACGTCTACCGCCACGCCGCCGAGGGCCTCTCGGCCGCCAACCTCCTCATTCTGGATGCCGCGAGGTCGGCCGTGCAGTGCCTCGCCCCCCCCTTCATCATCGGCGGCTACTTCAACATGGCGCCGCAGGAGCTGTCCGAGGCCGCGCGGCTCGGGCACGTCAGCGGCGTGGTCATCAGCCCGACAGTCGGCGCCGTCATGCTGTCGGAGCGCGTGATCGACTACTTCGTGGTCTCGCCGTGCCTCGCCTCGGCCACCGCCACCGCGCTTCTCGATTGGGACTTCTGGCCGCGTCGGCCAGTT